TGCGTCTCGGGACCTCATGGCCTCCAAGCTCGGCCTTAAAGAGGTTCCCCCGTCGCACCCTGCCCCGTGTTCGGTGCCAGGAGTTGACCTCGTCCACGGACTCGCGCTGTTTGGATTCTCCTTCCGCGCCTCGGCTGAAGAGCTGGTGCCTTGATAGCTCGAAGAGCGTACCTAACGGCCCCGACGAACCCGGGTGGCCCCCTTTCAGCTGGTGCTGCGCTCCTTCGTCTCTCCATTCCTTGTCCTTATGCATAACTTCTCCCTGTCGCGCCCCGAGGCCAGTTTTTAGGGCGGCCGGGTGTTTCGCCTGAGACTTCCTCACTGCTTATGACTCTGAAACTAAACAAGTGGCAGCAGTTTCGCAGACGGAGTGCGGGTCGTATTCGAAATGTGGCTCTCGCCTTAGCGCGGCGCGCATTCGTTTGCAGAGAATTTCACGGATTGAGGGCGGGTCGTTTTCAAAATGTGGCTCTCGCCTTAGCGCGGCGCACATTCGTTTAACAAGTTGCAAAGAGTTTCACGGATTGAGGGCGGCGCGTTTTCGAAATGTGGCTCTCGCCTTAGCGCGGCGCACATCCGTTTTAACAAGTTGCAAAGAGTTTCACGGATTGAGGGCGGGTCGTTTTCAAAATGTGGCCCTCGCCTTAGCGCGGCGCACATTCGTTTGACAAACTTGCAGCAGCTTCACATATGGAGGGCGGGTCGTTTAAAAAATGTGGCTCTCGCCATAGCGCGGCACACATTCGTTGTAACACTTTGCACGAGCTTCACGGATTGAGGGCGGTTCCTTTTCAAAATGTAGCTCTCGCCTTTGCGCCGCGCGCATTCGTTCTTCAGACTTGCAAGAGTTTCACGGATTCCCATCTTCAGCGTACCAGAAGTGGTATGTTGAAAGCAGTCAGGGTTATGCGGGCGCAACAGTTAAGTTGATTCGCTGTGTTGAAGTCGCAGGAAATCCGTTCTGGCACGGTTCAGGATCGTCAAGAGGCAACAGAGGCAAGAGTCAGGTTGATCCGTGGCGTTGGAATCCCGAGAGCAATGGCTTGGCATGCTTCAGGTTCTTCACACGGTTGTCTTCCAACGAGGCAGTTCCCTCAATGCAAATGAACTGCTGTAGGGGCATATTAAGGAGGGAGCTTGGAGGGAGGGTGTATTCCAACATCGTTGATGGCTCTTGGATTTGCACTGGTCCTCCTCCTCCTCCTCCTCCTCCTCCGCCTCCTCCTCCTCCTCGCTCGGCTGCGGACACCCTTCCTCGTCCCTCCTCCCTCCTCTTCCTCCTGTAGCTCAGCCACCAATGCGAAACAATAATTGTTGCGGGATGTCCCGTGTTTTCACTCATCCATGTTAACGGTGAGTTGTTAGGGGACCCGTCTGGAATTACTGCAAACTGCTTTAGCGGGGGGTGCATCACACACACACACACACACATTGCGTGCGGCTACACAGCACACTCGCGCTCTGGTTCTGCAGCTGCTGCAGTTGTTTTGCCGGCCAGATGCTCAAGGGCCTCGGGCAACAATGCCCGAGGACAACGACTTCCAATCGAGCCGAACACTTGTCTAGGATAGGTGCAGGCTGGTGGCCCAAGGTCCTGAGCAAGGCCGAGCAGGGCCGTCGAGGTTCGTAACTGTGGGGATTTCGCTTCGCGACTGGGGTCACTCACTCACTCACTCCTCCTCCTAAGGGGGGGGGGGAGGGCGGGGGGAAAGGCGCGGGATGGTGATGCCCGGGTGGGGGACGGACGAGGGCAAGGCAAGAGGCAGGAGGGGTGGAGGTGGAGGGGGAGGGGGAGGGGAGGGGGATGGGGTGGGGTGGGGGAGGCAGGAGGCAGGAGGCAGGAGGGGGAAGGGGGAGGGGAGGGCCAGGTGGAGCGGGGGACGAGGGCGCGAAGAGATGGAGAGGGCCGAGGGCAGGGGCGCCAGCCTCGCCGAGGCGCACGACGAGGGGTGTGGCAGGAGGAGGAACGAGGGACGACGGCGACGACGACGGCGACGAAAACGACGACGACAACGACGACGAAGACGATGACGACGAGGCTGAGGACGACGAGGAGGACGAGGACGATGAGGAGGACGATGAGGAGGACGAGGAGGAGGAGGAGGAGGAGGAGGGGGAGGAGGAGGAGGAGGAGGAGGAGGAGGAGGAGGATGAGGGGAAGGAGGGCGACGAGGACGACAGAGACGACGAGGACGGCGAGGACGACGAGGACGGCGAGGACGACGAAGACGACGTCGACGACGACGAGGACGACGAGGACGACGAGGACGACGAGGACGACGAGGCCGGGGAGAGAGGGTGAGACAGGGCAGGCGGACAGGGGAATGGCAGGCGAAGCCTGGCGAAGGGGGCGAAGGGGAGACGAAACCAGACTCTGCCACCCGTCGCCTGCCTCGCACCCAACCACCTCACCTCCCCGCATCGTCCTCCAGCTCCTCCTGCCTCCCCGCTCCTCCAATCCTCCTCGCCTCTCCAGCCTCACCCTTTACCCTTTGCTCTTCGGCCCTGCCCCATTAGACGACGAGGGCAGGATGCTCCGCTCCCTCTCGCGCGAAAGGGCGCAACCAAGAGCATATCGGACCCCTTCGGCCGCTGGGCATCGAAACGCACCCTTTCCCTTAACCCTCCCCCTTTTCCTATTACCCTGCTCCCCACTACCTTGCTTTCATGCTCATCCCCTTCTCCCCCCCTTCTCCGCTCCTGTATCTAGATTCAAAAAGTATGTGTCTACCACGCTTATTTCTCCCAAGGCCTCTCCTCCTCCGCCCCCTCTACTCCCTTCTTTCCTCTACCCTCCCTGCCGTCTCGCTCTCCCCGTCTCCACCACAGCGACCCCTGTCATGCCCTCCCCTGCTCTCCCCCGCCTTATTGCGCCCTCCGCTCCCCCGGAGACCGCCTGTCTCTTCCTTCACCTGGCTGCGACTTAACGCGGTGGCTTACACGGGCCTCCAGCGCGGCACGTTACGCTGGAAGCGGTGGCGCTCACGCGCGACCCTATGCAGGCAACTTGCTCGCAAATGTCGGCGCCGTCGAACCCGTTTCTTTGCGTCGCTCACCTGGTTCTTCATCCTCCCTTCTCCTCCTCGAAGGTGCCCTGTCAGCGTACCGTGCCCTGCAGGCTGTAAGTGTACAGCGGAGGCCAACACAGCGCAATGTCACGGAGCGGTGCGGGAGCGCGGCGTCCATCTGACTAAACGCATATCGTAAGTCATAGGAGGGTGGCGCTCGCGAGGCCAATGGCAGGGCTCTACCTTCTTCTGCGCTCAGACTTAAGGGTTTGGGATTATTGGCTCGGGGCGGATCGGTGCAGAAAACGCGTCGCCCATCGCCACCGTCCCCCGTGTCAAAACCATAGATGCGCATCGGCACATTTCTCCAGCCACTCGGCCTGCCATCGCACTGCGTTGAGGACTGGCTGCTACAAATTCTGCGTCTTTTGGCTCACCGAGCCGACGTGCTGGAACAATATGTTCGTCACATTGCATCGTGACGGCAGACGGGAAGGTGCCTGGCGCCAGGGCGGCAACGCCATCTCGAGTCAGAATCGCGGCCGGCGCGAGCGAATATACCAACCTGACCCTTACAACAACCTGGCCCGCCCGAGATCCGTGTCCTTTTACGGCGTGCACGTGCGCTCGTCTTGCCGTGCACTTCCCCAAATTCTGCTCTTCTTGCTCCTCCTCTTCCTTCCGCAACCTACTCTTCCTCCTGCATTCCCTGCTTCTCCCTCTCCTCTACGATTTCCTCTTTCCTCCATCCTCATGTCCTCTTCCTCCTCCTCCTCCTCCTCCTTCTCTTCCTCCTCCTCCTCCTCCTCCTCCTCCTCATCCTGCTCCTCCCTCCTCCTCCTCCCTCTCCTCCTCCTCCTCCTCTCCTCCTCCTCCTCCTCCTCCTCATCATCAGCATCAGCATCAGCATCAGCATCAGCATCAGCATCAGCATCAGCATCAGCATCATCATCTCATCATCATCATCATCACCACTACCACCACCACCATCATCATCAGCATCATCAGCATCATCATCAGTATCATCAGCATCATCATCATCGTCATCCTCATCCTCATCCTCATCCTCATCATCATCAGCATCAGCATCATCATCATCATCATCATCATCATCATCATCATCATCATCATCATCATCATCATCATCATCATCCCTTTGCCTCCTCCTCCTCCTCATTATCCTCATCCTCCTCCACTTCCTCTTATCTCTGCCCTCGCCTTCCTCCTCCCAACAATAATGCCTCTCCTCTTCCGCTTCCCCAAGCTGCTGCTCCTTTCCTCATCGATTTCCCTCGTCGTCGTCGTCGTCCTCCTCCTCCTCCTCTTTCTGCTCCCCGTCCCCTCTTCCTCCTCGTCGTCGTCCCCCTCCTCCTCCCGCTCCTCCTCATCCTCCTCTCCCTCCTCCTCCTCCTCCCTCCTCCTCCTCCTCCTCTCCTCCTCCTCCTCTCCTCCTCCTCCTCCTCCTCTCCTCCTCCTCCCCTCCTCCTCCTCCTCCTCCTTCTCCTCCTCCTCCTCCTCCTCCTTCTCCTCCTCCTCCCTCTCCTCCTCGTCCTCCTCCTCCTCCTCGTCCTCCGCCTCCTCCTCCTCATTATCCTCATCCTCCTCCACTTCCTCTTATCTCTGCCCTCGCCTTCCTCCTCCCAACAATCATGCCTCTCCTCTTCCGCTTCTCCACGCTGCTGCTCCTTTCCCCATCGATTTCCCTCGTCGTCGTCGTCGCCCTCCTCCTCCCCCTCTTGCTGCTCCCCGTCCCCTCTTCGTCCTCCTCGTCGTCCCCCTCCTCCTCCCGCTCCTCCTCATCCTCCTCCCCTCCTCCTCCTCCTCCTCCTCCTCCTCCTCCTCCTCCTCCTCCTCTCCTCCTCCTCCTCCTCCTCCTCCTCCTCCTCCTCCTCCTCCTCCTCCTCCTCCTCCTCCTCCTCCCTGGTCGCCCTCCCTCCGCACCTCGTCGAGCCCGGCCTTCGATCGGCCGAGGCGCGGGGCCGCGGGCAGGGCCTACAGGGGGGCGCCCCCCATGGCCCTGGCGACGCTCGCCTTCATATCCTGGGTGCCCAGGGGGGGAGGAGGAGGAGGAGGAGGAGGAGGAGGAGGAGGAGGAGGAGGAGGAGGAGGAGGAGGAGGAGGAGGAGAGGAGGAGGAGAAGGAGGAGGAGCAGGCGGAGGAGGAGGAAGAGGAGGAGGAGGAGGAATAGGAGGAGGAGGAGTAGCAGTACCAGGATCAGGAGTAGTAGGTGCGGGAGGAGCTGGATGACATGTGTAAGGCCGAGGAGGGGGAAAGGGGGTACAACGACGAGGAATGCCTCGGACCTAGGAATATGGCCCGCGTTGGGGCGAGGGATGCACTCTGAACGACGGGAGCAGCGCGCCGATAGCGAAATGAGGTCAAAGCTGCATCGGGACGACCATTGCAAAAAACTTCCCGACCGAAAAAACAAATATATAACATGCCACCTTTTGACATCCTGTGCATTAGAATGCATGCGGGCGAAACAGGTGGCGCTCGAACATAATCTGTGGAGGGCGGAGAATCGTATGTATGCATACTGGATAAATATAAAAAGGGCGACGGAATATCCAAGGTTGTGCGGGGAAGGGAGGGGGGAGGGGCATCGGAGAGGGGGGGAGGAGGAGAAGGGGATCGGGCAGTGACGAGGAGAAGACGTGGATCGGGGAAATTGGGTATGGGCGGGGAGAGGCTACGGAGAGACGGAGAGGTAAACGGAGATGGGAGAGAAAAGGAAGGGAGGGGAGGCGAGAGCAAGGAGAAGGGAAGGGAGACATGCGAACGCGAAGGAAAAACAAGGGATCAGGTTGGAAGGCTCAGCCAGGAGGCGAACGGATCAAGGGACTTGAATGCACATTCCCCCCTTGCCTAGCCGCCCCTCCCTGTCAATGCCCCGTCCCCCCCACGGGTGGCAGCAAGTGCAAACACGCCCCGTTAATTCGAATGGCGCTGCGCCATGGTGCCGACTACAAGTGCTTCCGCGAGGGTCTAGAAAGCAGGGTCGGAAGCCTTAGAGCTTGGTGCTTTGGCACGGACGGGCAACCTCGGAGTCCCAGAGAATGCGCGCGCGGGGTGAGCTACCTGATCCTCTGATGAGGACCCCCCTTATACAAGGGCCCTTGAAGCCTACCGAGATCCAGCAATGGCCAGGACCAGCTCGGATTGCCTCCCCCCCCCCAGAGCTCACTCGCTGGACCCGAGGGGTGCTTGCTCAGCGCGCTGGAACTGTCGGCTAGTTCCACACTTCCCACGTTCCCTCATCCTTCCTCCCCTGGATGGAGCTGGAGGGGATCGGCGGGAGCGGGGACAACCGTGAACGCGCCTGGGTGGCCCTCTCCGCTTCCCTCCGCTCCCTGTACTCCCTCCCCGCTCGTGTGTAACTCTCGCCGCAGTCCCCTCCTCTTTCTCGATGTGTGTGCGTATCTGTGTTGTCCTCTATTTCCCTCTCACACTTACACTTTTGTTATTCTCTCTCTCTCTCTCCTCCTCCCTCGCTGTCTCTCACTCTCTCTGGCTCTCCCCCTCTCCCCTACCCCTCTCTCTCCCCGACTCTGCCTATCCATCTCTGTCTCTCGCTCCATCTGTCTCTCTCTTGTCTTTGGTCTTTTTGCTTGTATTTCCTCTCTGCCTTTGTACACACAGCTATAGTCATGCAGTACTTGTGTGTACACATACAGATAAGCATGCACATATACACATCTATATATATATATATACACATCTATGTATACGCGTCTGTGTGCCCCCTCTCCCTCTCCATTTCCGCCTGAACCTCCCCCCCTCCCCCTCCCTCTCCCGCCCTCTCTCTCACTCCCCCCCTCGACCGCCTGGGCCCCCCCCCCCCCGCGACTGGGGCGTCTCCTCTGGCATCGGGACCCGCTTGCCGCCGCACTTTCGCTTCCACTCCGCCATCTTCATCAGCTGGCTGCACATGTCGACCTCGCCGCGCGGGCCCTCTGTCTCGGCGCAGGCGGGAGGCTCGAACTCAGACGCAAACAGTTGTGTTGTGACGATTGATCGTCATAACAAGAAGCTCGAGATCAGTTTATGACGATCGATGGTCAGAAACACTAGCTGTTTCCTTCTGAGTTCGAGCTTCATCGGCTGGCTGCGCACGTCGAACTCGAAGCGCGGGCCCGACCGGTTCGGCGCGGGCGGGGGGCCGGGGGGCGGACCTCGAGGGTAGGCCACGCCATCCGAACCGTACCCCTGCAGGCTGGATTTCTGAAACGCCCGGCGGGGCTCAGAACACGACCGATGTCTGCAGCCCAGCGATCCCCGGCGGGGGCGTGCGACATCTCAGCGACGATTGGATCTGAACGGGTCGGGTTCGCAACTGGTCGCAAAGAGGGTCGCACGAAGAAGACGAGAGGGAGGATGAGGCGGAGCAAGCGAGCGAGCGCGCCGTCTGGACAGCGCGGCGGCCGACGCTCCTCGAGGGCCAGCTCTTCGAGGCGGAGGCGGAGGGGGGGCAGCGCGAGCAGCCTGCGTGATGCCGCTGCTGCAAGAAGGGCGACGTACCGTCGAACCCTCAAAAGCAAACGCGCCTCCCCCCCACGCTCGCGCACGGTCTCGCCGCACTCCGGCGCCACTCGTGCAGCAGCCCGCGCTGCCCCGGGCCAACCTCCCCTGTCCTCTCCCCCTCTCGTCCGCTGCTCTCCCACCCCATCCGCCCCCCCCACCCCCCCGTCCTCCCCCCGAGCCCCTTCTCTTTCCAGGTGTACAATATGAATGCTACTCCCTCCTTCCCCCCGAAGAGTGCGGTGAAATGTCCAGGCTCCCCCCGCGTATTGTTCAGGATGGCGCCGGACTGGTTATTTATCTCGCTTGCCTTCTGGGCGTACGTGGTCTAAGGCGCTTCCTCTTCTAACCCCCTTCTTCCCCTTCGGGAAAGGGTTTCCCCCCCCCCCTTGACCTGGATGGGGGGGCGGCGAGGCGTTGGAGCGCCCCAGATGGCCCAAGACAGCTCCAAGAGAGCCTCGGAAAGCCCAGAATGACCTCCAAACTGGCTCAAGATAGCGCAATATGCCCCAAGATTGCTTTCAATATGCTCCAAGAAGCCCCGAGAACGCTCCAAGACGGCCCCAGAGGCCTCCGACACCTTCAAAGAGTTCCCCAGGAGGCCAACATCCTTCAAACACTCATTGGAAATCATCATTATGTGCTTTCTCACTTTTTCGCTTCCGATGGCCATCCGAGGCCTCTAGATGGGTCCAAGATGGCCCAAGAGGCTCCAGGAGAGGCGCAAGAGAGCCCCGAGGCGGCCACAAGAGCGCCTCAAGAACGCACCAAAAGGCGACTTTGGGGGCTCCCGGGGGGGGGACCCAAATTTCCAGCTCCCCTCTTCTTTGATAGATCTCCTCCAAGACGGCCCCAAGAGCGCCCCTGAAGCTCCCAATAGTAGCGCCCCACGAGGGAACCACGCGGCAACCGTAGGGTCCCAAGAACGATGCGTCAAGGAGGCCTCCAACAAGCTCCCAAGAGACCCCCAAGACGCCTCAAGGGGATGTCCGAAGCACCCGAGACGCTCAAGGACACCCTTAGGCTCGCCAAGATGCCCCTTCTCCTCCTCCTCCTCCTCCTCCTCCTCCTCCTTCTCCTCCTCCTCCGCCTTCTCCCCTTCCTCCTACAGTTCCTCCTTCTCCGCCTCCTCCCTTTCCACTATCTCTTCTTCCTCCTCGTCGCCCTCCTCCTCCTCCTTTTCCTTCTCCTTCTCCTCCACCATCCCCCCCCTCTTGGGGTACGGGCGGTTTCCCCCGCCCTGTGTTCTTCTGCGCGCCCCCCCACTTCCATGGTCGCCTTAAATCCCATGGGCATCGTTTCTGGATGGGCGAGTGTATTCTTTTGGTTCGCGAGCGCAGGCGGAAAAGCCGCGCGCCGTCAATAAGATCCAGCGGGGACCTGAAGCAGCGGCCGGAGACGGGGCACTACACGCGCAGCGAGCGGGAAACCGAAAAAGGAAAAGTGGCCGGGCCCGCGTGCCGAAGAGGGACCCTCAGCAAGCTTGTCCTCGGCGAGCTTGTCAGCAGCGACCTTCGCCCCGACGAAGTAGTCTTCGCCAAACTAGTGCTCGGCAACGACCCGGCGGGGGCCGAACATGAATCACCGACGCCGTCGTCGAGCGCAAGTCCTGTGAACACACCGCGTGGGCCAGCCTCACGAAAAAGACTCTGGAATCCCAAACCAAACGGCGATCAGCCGCGCACTCAGCCGACGTACCACGGAGCGAACCAACGCGCGGGGCCAGCGAAGGGCGACGGGTGCGAGCCGAGGTTGCGCCGCGCTGTCAAGAGCACCTCCCAAGGAAGACAGCCGCAGGGAGACGGCCCTAGGGCGTGCTTCCACGCCGGGGGCCACGACGCTGTGGACGCAGCTATCAGCCTCAGGATCCAAAAGTGGGCAAGTCCATGCACCTCCTGCGGGGGGGCAACCGCAGGAGGATGGACGGGCCAGACAGCTCGGAATGGCAATCGATATATCTCCTGGCACAAGCGCGCGGGGGGGGGAAGCAGCGAGACGGCCACAGACACGGGGGCAGCGGGTCGGGGGCGGGGGCGGGCGCGGGGGCGGGGGGCGGGGCACGGGGGTCCCGGCTAACAACCGAAGTCAGTCTGAACACAGGCGTGGGGGGCGGAGGTGAAGGCGGCGGACAGAGGGCGGGGAAGGGGGAGTCGCCGACCGGCCGCCGCGCGCGCGAGAGGCCCGGGGGGCAGCAGCGGCAGCGAAAACCGAGGGCGGGGGGGCGGGGGGGCGGGGGGAAGGGGCAAGGGGTGAGCGGCTAACAGCTGCGGCCATGGCGATTTGCCAGGGAAGGCGCCCGCCGCGGGCAGGGACCGTAGAGGGGGAGAGGCCGTCAGGCGGGGATCTGCAGGGCACGGGCCCTGAAGCCGGGTGGCCAATGAGTGCCGAGCGCCGGTGTGCAGGGCAGCGCGGGGCTCTAAGAGGTGCCGCAAGGGCTCCAGCAGTCTCGGAGGCCCGCCCGGAGGGGGGCCAACCCCTGGGTTCGCCTTCGGTGTGCCAGGGGGGGGCGGCAGTCACCATGGGGGAGAGGGGCCGCAAAGTGGCGTCCCAGAGGCTAGGACGAGCCGTCAGCCCCAGCTGGGCGCGCCCGAAGCGGTATTGGCGCACGAGGATGGGTGCGTGGGAGGAGCCGACCCGCCTAGCTTGGCCGGGGAGGGATTGGGTTCCGCGAGGCACACTGTTGTACAGCGTGGGGCGTTCATGGCCAGGCAAGAGTCGTGGGGCTGGTCCATTCTCTGAGGAAGCGCACGGAGGAATCCGGGTCCTGCCGCGTGTGGCCAGCGCAGATGTGGCCAGACCGCGTGGGATTCTTGGTCGTCCACTGGCGCCGCACTCCGTTGAAATATTCACCGAGGTCCCGCTGAAGCCTCGCCAACGGGGTTCATGATGTCGATTCGCTCCAGTGGGGTTGTGTATATGTAGAATATGGTGACTGGGTCGACCCGGTCTTGCGAGAGGTCGGCTTGTGCGCGTTCGTAGGATGGTCCGGGGCCAGACCGGGGAGTGGGGAAGTCGTCGGGGATGGGGGGCGCGTGCGTGCGCGCGCGGGCCGACCCCGGCGGTCGCCGGCCTCCCAGCTGGGCCGCCCTGTCCATCCTGTCCAGTGGCCGCTATAAGGGCCACGCCGCGGCTGGCCTCGCAGTGGTGGCGCGGGCGGCGCTCGCCACAACCCTCGCCCCAGTCGAACTCATCATGCGTCGCATTGGCAGCCCGGGGCTGCCAGGGGATGCTAGGGGATGGCGGGGCCCTTCGCTCTGGAAGGCGCGCGAGGTTTCTGTCGTCTTGCCCAGCCAGCACTGGGGGGGCGCATGTGCCGTCGGCGAGTGTGGCGGGGCTGCAGGGCTTGTCAGTTGCCTCCGGGCTGCAGGAGGAGTCGACCTGTAGCGCTGGCGCTTCCGAGCTCGGGGCCGGGGACAGGGCGACGGGTGGCCCGTGGCGGCCCCGGCGAGGGCCGGTTTTGTCGTCGTGGGAGCCAGCCGACGAGGTGTCGGAGGCAGCGCCCCCGCGGCCTGCGGCGTCGTCGCCCCCGCTGGTGAGGGGGGGGCCAGCCAAGTTGGTCTCTTGCGGGGGGGAGGTGCTCGGAACTACTGCGCCAATGCCAGGTATGTCGGCGATTGGGCTCGCACGCCGTGGGTGGCTATCCCGGGGGGGGCGAGAGCTGGCTCTACGGGTGTAGGGAAGGCCGGTGCCGCTCCACACTGGCATCGCGGGGGAGGGTGCATCGCTGCCCCAGTCAGGGAGTTCGGTCGTGCGGCCGGCTAAGGTGTGGAATTATGCTGGTGGGTCTGCCGTCTCAGTGCGCTTCTCGTTGAACCGCGTCCACCAATCGTTGTCACTGTGATCCCTGATAGGCGCGTTGGCCAGTGCGCGCGAAGGGGGCGTCCTTGGCCAGTTCCCGGAATGACCCGGTGGCTAGCTTATCGGGACTGACCTGTGTCAAGAATCCCACGAGGGCTCCCAGGGTGTGGCGTAGGGGGGAGGGGCCGCGCACGGACCATTGACTGGAGTGCAGGCGCCATTTGGGCCGCGTGGTGGGGTCGGTCGAGAGAACGCAGGGGCGTGCGGCCACGCGGGCGGCGGCGAGCCGCTTGCCTTGCCACTGGGAGTCGTTGGGGAGGCGGTGCGGTTTGGCGCAACCCTGTCGCCGTGTGCCCTCTTCAGGAGGGGGCGCAATCGGGGCGGCCCCCAGCTGTCGGGGGCCTCGGAGCCTTTGACGCCCCTGCCCTGCTCCGCGGCGCATTCCCTCCACTGGTCGCCCAAGATTGGGTCCAGGTCGCGCGGGAAGGCTAGTGCGGATACTTTGTAGTCTTGAGCGGACGCGGATTCGCAGTCGCCGAACTGAGAGGTCCCGGCCACGGGCCTGTCAAATTAGCAACGCGCAGTGCTAGAAGCGCAGCAGAACTAGTGGGGATACGCGAAGCGTCAACAATCTGAGTTGTTTCTCATCCGAGCGATTTCAACCCTTTCAGAATGGCACCTCCGTTATACCGTTCTGTCTATTGTTTCCCTCTCGGTCCTTTCACAGCTTGTTCCTGCTGTAGCGCTGGCCTCGCTGGTTCTAGCACTTTCAAATCGTGTTCCTGCTGCAGCGTTGCCTTCGTTTCCGCGCTTCCATTCCCTGCAAATCGTGCTCCCACTGCAGTGCTTGTCTGACATCAGCGGTTGTGGTCGTTCGGGGTCGTGTTCCCGCTGCAGCGCTGCTCTCATGTTCTCATGTTGGCCTTCTCCCTGTCGAAGCCGTTCATTTGTAGTTGCCGTCTTCTCTCTGACCTTTCTGTAAACATGAATCGCGTTCTCGACGCGATGCCATTCTATGCCGTGCTACACCATGCACCGCGCACTCTCTCGGGATCAGTTCCACGTTCGACGTCCGACTGTGCTAAGAGAAGGGGGATCTATGCGGTAAGGGATGGGAAGGAAGGGTATGACGTCAGATATGACGCCTGCGCTCCTAGCTTCCCAGTTCCCCTCTACCCCCCTTCGCTGCCCCTCCCCCCGCAGCCCATTCTGCGCTCGGCACCTGAGGGTTCCGACGGTGGCCTCTACTAGGAATGCGCCGATGAGCACAATGCCTGATGGCCAACGCTGCCAACGATGGGGCTGGCTCCCACCAAACACACCCGCTTCTCGCCGCGGCCGGCTTCGGAATGAACTACGGCCCTGACCACCGGCTGAACTCCTCTGTTTGGGTGCACGGGTTGGCGCAGTCCGCGCAGAGAGCCAAGACTCTCTCCGGTAAGCTACCGCCCCGAACGGGTGCTCAGGCCGACATGGCTTAAGATCCACCGGATCCTACAGGCCAAGCCAGAGATGTTCAAAGCCCAGAAGGCGGGGAGCGATCTTGGCGAGCAAGGCATCTACGAGAAGCGCTTCACACCAATAGCAGAAGTTTTTCAGCCGCCACGCCGATGAGCTCGCCGCTACTGGCGCACGCCTGCACGCCCACCCACGCGGTCTCACCAGCGCCGCCACTTGGCAACATAAGTTGACTGCAGTCCTCCACTGCGCGGCCGTCGTCATCCATGACCGACGTCACCATGCACTCCTTTTGCCTGACACAAGAGCGGGGTACTCGAGGGTAAAAACTGGCAAGATGAAACCCAAACCTCTCACAGGCCAAGGTGGGAACGAACCACCCGGCTCACCAAGTGGCCCTGACCACCCAGACGGTCCACCAGGGCATGGCTCCCCCCACCATCACGCCAATTCCCCCGCCCACCAACCAGGGCACAGAGACAAGCGAACGGCTAAGCGCCACCCCCGGCACAAGACACGGCGCTTCGTGTACCCACCGGACCAGCCGCAAGCAAACCCCCACGCAACGCTTCACGGCGGCTACACGGCAACCTGACGGCGACCGCGAATCGGGTTTCATCGCTAGCGCAAACGCGATGCACCGCCGAGCCCACCACCTCGCCCAATCTCTCAAGCACATCCACGAACACTCAGCTCCGCTGCTTGACACGTTCCATCATGTACAAGCGGGCTGGGGCGACTTGCAGCACGCCTTCCGGCCTCCCGCGCCCCTAGGGACGACCCTCTTGGACAGTCTTCGGGCCTTCCTTGCTGCCCAACGCGCGGCACATCAAAGCTGTCGCCCTCCTCCCTGTGGGCTTCGTGAACTGATGGCCCCGGTTCATCTGCTGGCTGGGCCGCTGCGGGGGTTGCCCCAAAGCGGCGCCGCTACTGCCAGGGATCCGCATCACGCATGCCGGCGCGTATGCACAGCCAGCGTCCCTCTGCTTGCGGGCGTGCAAAATCGTAGTGTACCGCGCTCTGATCGCCACGTCCTGCCTCTGTTTTACACTCGGGGTCCACGCAGGCAGCGCCAAGGGGGAGGGTAGGCTCACCACCCCTGGTCGCACGGCGGCACCTCCCGCCACATGGAGTTGGCACGGAGGGCGCTTGCAGCACTCGCGACTGTTGCGATATCCCTGCCCCGCTCCCCCCGCCCTTCCTCCTCTTCCTCCTCTGCCTCCCCCTCCTTCTTCTCCTTGTCTGTCTGTCGTCGTCCTCCTCCTCCTCCTCCTCCTCTTCCTCCTCCTCCTCCTCCTCTTCCTCTGCTTGTGGGTGGAGGCGGGGGAGGAAGACGAACGGAGGATGAGGATGAGGAGGGGAAGGATGCGGCGGAACGGGTCGATGGCAACAGGAGTGCCCAAGACCGCCACCAGTGCCAGTGGCAGGAGACGGAGGATGAGGAGGAGCAGGAGGGGGACATGAGGAAGGAGAACACGAGGCGCAGGGGGGGGGGGGCACAGAGGAGCAGGAGGAGGAGCAGAAGGGACATGAAGGGGAACACGACGAGCAGGAGGGGGGAACGAGAGGAGGAGGGGGCATACGAAAGAGGAAGAGGAGCACAAGCAGGAGCAGGAAGCAGGAGAGGTGGAGCAAGAGGAACACGAGGAGCAGGAGGGTGGGTGGGTGGGGGGAGCACACCTCCCACTCTGAGATCCGACGTCTGGAACGAAAAAAACAACATCGCGAAAACCACGACTGGAACCCTAGACCCTATCTGCGCCATTTTCCGAGCCCGATCGATCCGTGATAGTCCCGGGGCCTGAGAACGGACGAACACGCCTGGGGTAAAAACATTGCCATGCCTCGTCGTCTGGTTTCCGTGTCTTACTCTGGCCTCCATTGGCCTGTCGGGACGATCCGGACACCTCCCGACGCCTCCCGGCGAGGCGCAGCTGCTGAAGCGCACCCCGAGGCAGGAAAACCTTCCCAAACCGACGAAGCCGTCCGAAAACCATGCGAGCGCCCGCAAACGCCCCGTCTCATGGGACGCATAGAGACATACTAGTATTATGGGTCCTGCTTGGAGCGCACGTGCGCCCAACCTGAACATATCGTACACCCATCTTGTAGTACATCGTTTCCCGAGCGGCGTGGCCAGACAGATCCTGCCACGACGCATCTACTAGAAGATTTCTCGGTGCGCGCGTCGCCCCTGGGAGGGCGACGCACACATGTTAGTATGTTGGGGTGGCGCCGAACCGCGTCAATCGTTAAACCTTGAACTGACTGCAACCCCGCTCGTTCAAGGTTGAATTCCGTCGGGCCGTGTGGCGCTGCCGTGCGCCCCGATGTTTCCGCGTCGTTTCAGCACGCGGGGTTCATGTCTAGAGGCCTCCTAGATGGGGTCCTGGAAGATGGGGTCGGAGGATCGCGTCGCATCGCCGATGCATCGGCGATGCATCGCCGACGCATCGGCGATCCACCAGCGATGCACCGCCGACGTCGGCGACGCATCGGCGACACTGGCGTGGAAAATATCGGGCCCCACATCGAGCCGCATCGCCGATGACTCGGCGAGGCGGCGCGATCCTCCGACCCCATCTGCTCGGACCCCAAACTGGGAGGCCTGGAGTGTTTTCGCGTCGTCCCATCACGCGGAGTTCCTGTTTGGGGCGACGCCGCGCCCAAGGCACGCCTCCCCGCCCCCCCCCTTGAGCAGGCACCGGCCGTCCCGGCAGTTCTATAGGCCTACCACGGCATGTTCTTCGAACCCCAAAGATGTTCCAATCATAAGAACAAGGCTCTCAGAACAGAAGCCCGATGTGTTAAACCAAGACAGTCTCGGCCAGACATTCTCTGAGAACACCTCGTGCAGACCACAAAGGAGGTTGTTAGCACAGCCTTCGGCGGGCCTGCAGGCCAGCCGGGACGCTTCGCCACTGCTTCACATGTTGGGGCGACGCCGAGCTCATGGTACGCCTCCCCGCCCCCCCCCTCCCTCCCGCGCGGGCGGGGCGGCGACCGCGCCGCCGCCGGCGTCGGGCAGCGGCGTCCGGATGCCTGCGGGCCCGCCGGGCCGCCTCCACCCCCCCATCGGGCCGGAGAGTAAATGGGGTGCAGGAAGAAAACAGAGAAGAGCAGAGATAGAGGAGTAGGAGGCAGGAAGAACAGAGAAAGAGGCGGCATACATATACATATACATATACATATACATATACATATACATATACATATACATATACATATACATATACATATACATATACATATACCTATACATATATATGTATATATACATATATCTATATATATATACACATATATATATATATATATATATCAGAGTGAACCGAAAGGTCATTCACTGTCCCTGGGTGCGTCGCTGAAAAAGATTTCCGCGATGCGGATTATTGTTGTTGTTTGTTGTCTGTTGTTTGTTGTTTGTTGCTTGTTGTTGTCGTCGTCCCACCCGCGACCCACCCGCGACCCACCCCGCGACCCACCCGCAACCCACCCGCGACCCACCCCGCGACCCACCCGCGACCCACCCCGCGACCCACCCGCGACCCACCTCGCGACCCACCCGCGACCCACCCCGCGACCCTCCCGCGACCCACTCCGAGACACCCTTGGCGACCCACCCGCGACCCACCCGCGACCCACACGCGACCCAACGCGACCCACCCGCGACCCACCGCGACCCACCCGCGACCCACCCGCGACCCAACCCGCGACCCACCCAAAATTTTCGGCGCCTGCGGCGGGTTTCTTTTGCATTCGTTCCGGGTGGAGAACCTGCGACCCACCCGCGAACCAAACCGCGTTCAGTGTACAAATCAAAATTTTCGGCGCCTGCGGCGGGCTGTGTTTGAATTCCTTCCAGGTGGAGGTGGAGAGCCACGACACACCCGCGACCCAAACTACGCTCACTGAACAAGCCAAAACTTCGGCGCCTGCGGCGGGTTTCTTTTGTATCGGCGACCCACCGGCGACCCACCGGCGACCCACCCCGAGACCCACCCGCGACCCACCCCGCGACCCACCCGCGACCCACCCGCGACCCACCCCGCGACCCACCAAACTTTTGTTGGCGCCTGCGGCGGGTTTCTTTTGCATTCGTTCCAGGTGGAGAACCTGCGTTCCAGGTGGAGAACGCGTTCAGTGTACAAATCAAATTTTCGGCGCCTGCGACGAGCCCACTGCATTTTTGTAGAAGCTAGGCGCCTGCGGCGGGCTTCTTCAGAGCCTCGCAGACTGACGCGTCCTCGCCGCCCCCCCACCCTTATCCGCAACCGCGGGGTGCTACGTGTATGTATATATATGTATATATTTGTGTATATATGTGTATAACTATATATATATATATTCATAGAGGTTCACATACATATGACTATATATATATATACATACATTCACATATATGTATATAAACATCGTCCCCGTCATATGAGTATATATATATACATATATATATATATGCATAACTCTCGAACGATTAGACATGGACCATGTGGGTATATACTTACATACATCAATATGTATGTATACACAGAGAGAGGGACAGAGAGAGAGAGAGAGACAGAAAGAGAGAGTGAGGGGCAGCGATCGTAGGATACTGACATAACGGGGGAAACATCGACCTGGAATCGGCGATATATTGCCGATCGATCGGCGATAGACCACCGACATCGAATCCGCACTTTCCTGGGCAGGGTGGGGCCTATCAGACCCCTATCGGCGATCAGTGGGCGATTCGGGGTCAATGCGTCCCCCCCCCCCGTGCCTCTGCCCCCCCCCCTTTTATCGTCGTCCCTGAGAGAGAGAGAGAGAGAGAGAGAGAGAGAGACAGACGGATCAATTCGTGCGGCTCACGGGGCACCGGCCCTGCGGGCGGACAATGGCCTTCTGGCTGCCCTGGGGGTCCCCTGCGGGGGTGCCGGTCCTTCCTGGAGGGAGGGAGCCCCCGGGGCCGAGGCGTGGGAGAGAGAGAGAGAGACGGAGAGGGAGAGGGAGGAAGAGAAAGAGAGAGAGAGAGAGAAGAGAGAGAGGGAGAGAGAGAAAGAGAGAAACAAAAAAAAGGAAAAGGAAAGAAAAGAGCACCAGGCGAGAACTTCGCATTTCGGGGGACGTAAAGGTGGGGTAGGGGCAGAGGTGGGTTGGGCGTGCTCCACACGGCTCCTGGAAGAAGGAAATGTGAGCATCCAGGGAGCAGACCAGACCTGACGCCCCCAGGGCGGTGGACGCCAAGGGAAGGCTTCGGGCTGCGCTTGGACATCCCGCCCAGGTACAGTAGGGGCTCGACCACGAGAAGCCTTCCACAAGAAACCCAACCCTGAGACCCCAGGACGTCCGTAGATTTTTGGTTTGGGAGCGCCACGCATTCCATCGCGAAACCGTCGAAACTCAGGGCACCCTGGAGGCACACAAGGGGGTTCTTGGCATGGGTTGCCACTGTGGTCCCAGCTGGCCTGAGCACGGAATACCCGACGGTGGCCGCGCGCGAAGCGAGCGACCCACCTCCCCGGAGGGTGCCCAGAGTGCCTGCAGGAATTCACATGCAGCCGGCGTGGCAGAACTGGAATCAGTGGGACCTGGTTTAGTGATGTGTACTGGGGGACGGCCCCCCCCCCGCCCAGTTCCACGAACCGGAACTGCCAACACCCGCAAAAGCACAACAGCCACGGCAGACCTGGTGTTCCATGATTCTGGCCAATTTAGGGGCTCCAGGGCCTTACTAGTAACCGCGTCCCCTTACCTGGGGTCTTGGCTAGATCCGACATACAGCGTCCCCCGAGCAGTCCTGGGCGGTCTCCGCACCCCTCCCCCTCCTCCTCCTCCTCCTCCTCCCCCTCCTCCTCCTCCTCCGCCTCCTCCTCCTCCTCCACCTCCTCCCCCTCCTCCTCCGCCTCCTCCTCCTCCTCCGCCTCCTCCTCTGGGGCGCGGAGCGCCCCGAGGGGCACCGCCTCGGGAAGCGACGAGGTGTCGACACCGCCCCGTGCCAATTACTCGGTGGGCCTGCGGAGGCCAGCTTGGACTGGCTGGGAGCACTGTCTGTGCGCAACCCGGAGGCGGAGGGGGAGGAGGAGGAGGAGGAGGAGGAGGAGGAGGAGGAGGAGGAGGAGGAGGAGGAGTGAACGTACCTTGAGAGGAGGAGGAGGAGGAGGAGGAGGAGGAGGAGGAGGAGGAAGAACCTTACCATGGCGTCCCCCCAGGGAGCGGGGCCCAGCGTCGGCAACACGGGTCCCCGATAGCGGGCTTCGTGCCCTCTTGCCCGCCTGCCGGCAATGGCCGCAGACGGTTCCCAGAGCCACAAAACGAAATAACGGCATGAGCACAAATCGTCGTTGCTCCGCACGGTTTTCTTGGATCGGCACTTGGCACCCTTCCCTGGCGCGCGTAGCTCGTCGGCGAGCCATGGGGGGAAATTAGAAGGAGAAGGCCTTCTCAGAAGGCTCGGAAGTCTCCCGGCCTTCTGAGAAGTTTTCCAAGCCTTCCCGGAAGACACAGACGACTTCTCAGAAGGCGCGAGGGCTTCTGATGAGTTCCGCCGATTTCTGAGAAGGCCTTCTCCGTCTCACTCCACCCCCTCGTCCGCCGCTGAGTAGCGCGCCAGGGGCGGCGCCAGAGGCGGCGCCAGTGGCGAGCTCCCGCCTCAGCGCATGGCCACGCTCCCCGCTCATGTCTGTGCGCACGCCGCGGTGCCAGCCGCACTCCTGGCGCGGTTGCTGCAAGACTGCGTTCCCGCCTCGGCGCTGGCCGCGTTCCTGGCCCAGCCGAGCAGCAGCAGCAGCAGCAGCAGCAGCAGCAGCAGCAGCAGCAGCAGCAGCAGCAGCAGCAGCAGCAGGAGCAGGGGCAGCAGCTGCAGGTGTAGCGCGAGCAACAGCGACAGCAGCAATACTGGGGGCAACAGCGGTAGCAATTGCAAGACTGGCTGGAGGCACATCCCGGTTTGGCATGCAAGAAACTGGTCCTGAAGGAAAGGGGTCCTGGACCCACACCTCAGGACCTATTTCCCTCAAGACGGGGTTCCTTCATGGCGACCAGTGTCCCTTCCTCCCCCTGGTTCTCGCGGGCCCGCCTGACATCGCCGCGGACGATGACAATGGCCTCGACTGCGCCTGCGCCGCGGCGGAGGCGGAACGGGACGTGCTGTGAAGTGCCGCCAAAGTCAGGCGTGCACAATCCACCTCTCCCCTTTCACCCCGTTGCCCCTTCTCCAAGGACTGTTCCGCTCCCCTTTCCTCCTCCCGCTTAGGAGACCACATGCGAGAGCTACCCCTACCCCCCACGATTTCTGAGGGGGAGGGTGGGGTTCACTTCGCTCGGGAGCTCGGAGGGTGGGGTTCACTTCGCTTGGGAGCTCCCGAACGAAGTGAACCCCACCTCCCCCTCAGAAATCGTGGGGGGGGAGGGGAAAGTTCGCATGCGGCCACCTAATGAAGTGCCGCCAAAGTCAGGCGTGAATGATCCACCTCTCCCCTCACCCCGTTGCCCCTTCTCCAAGGACTGTTCCGTTCCCTTCTCCTCCTGCCTCTCCCCTCCAGCAGCTGGGGTTAGGTCGGGCATGTCCTCCTACAGGGGGATGTTGGACGACAGATACAAAAAAGCCCCTAAGAAATGCACCATCATAATCAAACGTAGTCAAAACATCGTCCCTGACTATGTTTAAAGTTATTTTTTGAATATCCCTACTGTAGAGGGACATGCCCGACTTAACACTGGGGAGGAGGTGGGAGTCGAGAAGCAGCTGCTGAAGCCAGGTGTGGCCCCGCCCGGGGAGCCGTCGAGAGACACACCCCCCTCCTCCTCCTCCTCCCCCTCCTCCTCCTCCTCCTCCTCCTCCTCCTCCTCCCTCCCCTCCCCTCCTCCTCCTCCTCCTCCTCCTCCTCCTCCTCCTCCTCCTCCTCCTCCTCCTCCTCCTCCTCCTCCTCCTCCTCCTCCTCCTCCTCCTCCTCCTCCCCCTCACCCCCACGCCGCCTTTTCCGAGCCGCCGGCTCGAGAGCACCACGGATGAGAGAAGCAGCGCCTGGCCGCGGAGACCGCCATCGGCAGAGCATGTCCTCCTCCTCGCCCTGCACTGCCGCGACGTCTTTGGCGCAGCGGTCTCGCACCCTCTGGCTTCGGCTGGGTGGCCCCGCCTCACCTGCGCCCCCCAGAACAAAAGCACAAGGCCGACGCTCGCTGATCGCCCCCATGGGCCCAACACGAGGTATGACGCGTCCGCTCGGCACTTTGAAGATGAGGCGCTGAGACTCGGGGCCCTGGAGCGAGGAAGCCGCGAACAATACAAGTTCAACGTGGAAGCCCTTTGTGAACGTCTTTTTATACGGCATTTCGACACTGGGCGGAAGGGGAAAGGGATCTGGCTCTGGACCTCTGCGTAGTGCGACTGATTGCAACAGTGTTCATTATGGGGGAGGCTCCACATGCTCGAAACAGGCGCCAAAAATAGCCAAGATCCACTCCACGGGGGGGAAAGGGGGGTAGCGAGGGCCCGCGCCGACCGGCAAAACAATGAATACAAAACGATCACTTTCCCATCCCCACCATCTTCGAAGCCGCCATCCACCTGGGGAAATACGTCCATAGCGGCGGCCAAATTTATCTTATAACGAGCTACACCTATGGCCAGATACAACCCCCAAAAAATTCACTGGAACACTAAATACTATAACACGTACACAATGAAACAACACCATTCTGTGCGCAACCCCAGACGGCCCGGGGGCGATCCCCTGTAAGTCATACCATGAGGTGGACATGGTTTGACCACTGTTGCGAATCTTCTGTGGAACCATAGCAAGGGGTTCCCCATGGCCGCTCTCGCGCGCAAGACAAACACACTCAACACGATGTGCTTCCATCGCTTCAAGTCCGCGCTCTTCAAATACACATGAACACATGTAGCTGTTGACGATGGCAACATGCATAATCTGTTGTCTGCGCACACCAAAGCTCATGGACGGGCTATACACTTGAGGGGACTTTATATTAACGCCGCGCTGGTATGATGAAACGAAAAGATGTAAAACAGGGCGGCCGCCTGGGTACCATCGCACACCCAAGAACCAGATTACGCTACAATATCTGCCAACTCTGTCGCGTGAGTGAGAGGCTTGGGCGGCCGCGTCAACCCGAAGGACAGCGCCAATCACCCGAAGCGCACACCGATCTGAGGGGTAACCGAACAATGCAGGAATTGCATCGAAGTGAAGCCCCTTCCCTTTGATCCCCTCCCCGCCAGGGGTGGGGAGGCCCTTCCCCCCCGCCGAATAAACTCGAAGATCGCTGGGTCATTTTCGGGCAAAATCGGCCCTCTCTGGGCAACTTACGTCCAAGACGGCCCACGAGGGGCTCACACATCCCAAGATCGCTCCAGGATGGCGCACCGCGCCCTCCAGAGTAGCAACAACACTCAAGCCGCCCCTAGAGCGCCCCTAGGGCACCCCAGGGAGACCTCCAGTGGGCGAACACGATGAATGTCCTATTTATTTGCTCAATGACGTTTCGCCCGTCGACCTCCCAAGACGACACACAAAACCCACAAGATCGAGCCACTACGGCCCATGAGGCAACCCAGAGCGCCCTGGACGGTCCACGAAGCCCCCAAGATCGCGCGAAGACGGCCCACGAGGCCCCCCAGGAGAGCCCCCAAACAGCCCTAGAAAGCTCCAAGGCGGCCCAACTGGACCCTGAAAATGACCCAGGCGCGCCCCACGACGTCCGCAGACAGCCCCAAGACTGCCGGCAGAGACCACCCAGATGGCCAAGAGTCCCAAGATGGCCCATGACGGCCGAAGAAGCCCCCAAGATGGCCACGAGACGACCTCAAGAGAGCGTCAATATAGAACAAGATGCCTCCAAGACGGTCCCAAGGCGGCCCCAAAAGAGCCACACACTATCCCCAGAAGCCTTCACCACTGCTCCCTTCGCGCGCACCCGCCAACCTCGTCCGTCCTCGGTGAGATCTTCTAAAATCGGCGTGACCGACCGGAAGGCCTTTGCAACCCGAGACGTTGTATGTATGTATGCATGTGTGTATGTATGTATGTATGCGTGTATGTATGTATGTATGTATGTATGTATGTATGTATGCATGCATGCATGTATGTATGTATGTATGTATGTGTGTATGTGTGTATGTGTGTATGTGTGTATGTATGTATGTATGCATGCATGCATGCATTCATGCATGCATGCATGTATGCATGTATGCATGTATGCATGCATGTACGTATGAATATATGTATGCATGTGTGTATGCATGCATGCATGCATGCATGCATGCATGTCTGTCTGTCTGTCTGTCTGTCTGTCTGTCTGTCTGTCTGTCTGTCTGTCTGTCTGTCTGTCTGTCTGTCTGTCTGTATGATTGTATGTTTGTGTGTATGTTTGTTTGTATGTATGTCTTTGTGTATGTAGATGTGTATGTATGTATGCATGTATGCGTGTATGCATGTATGCATGTATACGCATACGTATATGTACATGTGCATGTGCATGTGTGTGCCTATGTATATGTATAGGTGTAGGTATATATGTAAGTGTATGTGTACGTGTAGATATACGCGTATGTATGTGTATGTACGACCATAGATCCCTTGAAACACATATACATGCTCATGTGTACATGTGTACACATACATGTTTTACTACACGTATATACGTCGTGCACTATGCTATCCTACAAAAGACTATGTTGTGCTGCATAATTCCCCGCGGGGGTGGAGATGAGAGACGAGTGAGGTCAAGCTAGGCGCGCTCGCGCCATAATATGACATTCTATCCCTCCTATCAATCCCTTACCATTGCGTTTTCTTCTGTTTTGCCGACGGCCCCAGAGGACCCCATTGTGGGCATGCGCAGTCACAAAAGCGGAGCAGGAGGATAAGCAGGAGGAAGAGGATGATCAGGAAGGAGGTGGACGAGAAGGAACAACAGCAGCAGGAGACAGTATGGAAGACGCTGGAAAAATCAACATGCCCAGGGTAAGGCGGGGAAATGGGAAGGGAGCGGGGCAACCACGATGAGGACGCACTCGGATCCAGTATGTTGCCCGCGCTGGGGCGAGAGCGCCATTCTGAACGATGGGTGATTTCTTGATACGCGCCCCCACTGACCCTCCCCTCACCCGCTGGCCTCCCTCCACTCCTCGTACCCTCCCAACAATGCCGTCACATGTGTGTTGCTTTTGAAACTGCCCACCCCTTGCCTTCCCTCCGTGCCTGGCGTCTGTCCTTGCAGTGCCCTTACTTCTCTCCCTCGTGCCCGGCTCTTTTCCTGCTGGCCGATGTGGGCAAAATGTGTGTGTGTGTGTGTGGATGTGTGCGCGTATGTCTGTGTGTGTGCGCCTTCAATGAGCTCATAAACGCCAATCCGTCCCAAACACGTTCGCCGTAAAGGCACTATGCCTCCAGAAAGAGTTCACTGTCAATTAAGTTGAGATCAGGAGGGTCAGGATGATGATGAGGAGGATGAGGAGAATGAGGAGGATGAGGAGGATGAGGAGGAGGAGGAGAAGAGGAGGAGGAGGGGGAGGAGAAGGATAAGGAGAAGGAGGAGGAGGAGCAGGAGAAGGATAAGGAGGATGAGGAGGAGCAAGAAATGGTTGTCTTCCATGGAGCCGCCCGCGCTCCCGCTTTCCCGCCCCTGCCGCGCCGGGCCTCCACGCTGAGCTTCGATTTCTTGCTCTTCTCCGCCAGCTCCACCTGGGGGGGGAGGCCACTCGCCACCAGAGTGGGGCGGGGGCAGGGCGGGGGATGGAGCGGACGGGGGCAGGGAAATACTGAGGAATGGCTAGAAAACGAGAGAGGGAGAGAGGTACAGAGACATAGACATATGTATATGTATATATATATATAAATATGTATTCCCCAATCAGAGCTTGCCTTGCGGAGTCCTATGGTTAGGTGAGGTGGGCCGCCGATTTCCGTGGCCGGCCCAGGTGCCCGGGTGCCTGGCTGGGTGCCCGGACCTGGGTGCCCGGGGCTGCCCGGGGCTGCCCGGGTGCCCGTAGGTGCCCGGAGGTGCCCGGGGATGCCCGAAGGTGCCCGGGGGTGCACGGGTGCCCCGGGTTCTCTATCGCCCTATAGCCCTATAGACCTATGGCCAAATAGCCCTATAGCCCAATAGCCCAATAACCATATAGCCCTTTACCTTTAGGCCTCTAGCGCTATAGGCCTATAGCCCTATTGCCCTATAGCCTTGTAGCCCTATAGCTCTTTAGACCTATAGCCCTATAGCCCTATAGCTCTATAGCCCTACACCCCGATTCCGTTACCGAGGAACCCAACATACTTATATTATGGCTGGAGTGATGATAGCTGAAATGAAGCATGTGAGAATGATGTTGGTGGCCGTTCCCTGCGCACCCCCTATGGTGCCGGGAATGTGCCACGCCTGTTGCGCCCTGGACGACCGGCACGGATAGCGGCTGCGCTCAGGGACCACCTCCTGCGCACCCCCTACGGTGTCGAGAAAGTGCCACTCCTGCCATGCCCTCGACGCCCAGCACGGATAGCGGCCGCGCTCAGGGACCACCCCGTGCGCACCCCCCATGGTGTCGGGACAACGCCACGCCTGCGACGCCCTGGACGACCGGCACGGATAGCGGCCACGCTCAGGGACCACCCCGTGCGCCGCGCCCATAGTGTCGAGAAAGTGCTACTCCTGCTATGCCCTGGACAACCAGCACGGATAGCGGCCGCGCTCAGGGACCACCCAGTGCGCACCCCCCAAATGCCTGCTATGCCCTGGACGACCGGCACGGATAGCGGCCCCTCCTGCGCACCCCCTATGGTGTCGAGCAAGTGCCACTCCTGCCATGCCCTGGACGCCCAGCACGGATAGCGGCCGCGCACAGGGACCACACCGTGCGCCGCCCCCATGGTGTCCGGGAAGTGCCACGCCTGCGACGCCCTGGACGACCAGCACGGATAGCGGCCACGCTCAGGCACCACCCCTTGCGCCGCCCCCATGGTGTCGGGAAAAAAACACTCCTGCTATGCCCTGGACGACCGGCACGGATAGCGGCCGCGCTCAAGGATCACCCCGTGCACACCCCCCAAAAGCCACGCCTGCTGAACCCTCGACGACCGGCACGGATAGCGGCCGCGCTCAGGGACCACCTCATGCGCACCCTCTATGGTGTCGAGAAAGCGCCACTCCTGCCATGCCCTGGACGCCCGGATAGCGGCCACGCTCAGGGACCACCCCGTGCGTCGCCCCCATGGTGTCGGGGAAATGCCACGCCTGCGACGCCCTGGGCGACCGGCACGGATAGCGGCCACGCTCAGGGACCACCCCGTGTGCACCCCCCATGGTGTCGGGGAAGTGCCACGCCTGCGACGCCCTGGACGACCGGCACGGATAGCGGCCACGCTCAGGGACCACCCCGTGCGCACCCCCCAAGTGCCACGCCTGCTATGCGCTGGACGACCGGCACGGATAGTGGCCCCTCCTGCGCACCCCCTATGGTGTCGAGAAAGCGCCACTCCTGCCATGCCCTGGACGACGGGCACGGATAGCGGCCGCGCTCAGGGACCACCCCGTGCGCACAGCCCATGGTGTCTGGGAAATGCCACGCCTGCGACGCCCTGGGCGACCGGCACGGATAGCGGCCGCACTCAGGGACCACCCCATGCGCACCCCCCATGGTGTCGGGAAGGTGCCACGCCTGCTACGCCCTGGACGAGCGGCACGGATAGCGGCCACGCTCAGGGACCACCTCGTGCGCACCTCCGATGGTGTCGAACATGCCACGCCTGCTAGGCTTTGCGACAGCGTCGTAGACATACATCGCGTTCAGGAACCACCCCCAACGCACTCCCTCTGGTGTCGAGAAAGTGCCATGCCTGACGTGCTCTGCGCATCCTACACGTGCGATTTGAGTATGGCGTGTGATGTGTATGTGTATGATGTATGATGCGTGTGCGGCCGTATCGGGACGTGTGCCTCATGTGGGTGCCCAATCTGTTGTGCATAGGTCTTGGGTGTATGATGCTATGAACACGCCAGGCGTGCACTAGCGTTGTATGTTTTATGTTGTGTGTGTGCGAGTGTGTGCATGCGTGCGGCTGCATGTAGACGCGTGTCTGATGCACGTGCAGTGCATGTGTTGCGTGTGGGTGATGGGAAGAAGGACGAGAAGGAGGAGAAAAGGGGGAGGCGGGAGGTGAGGAAGACGCGGGTGCGACGCGGGTGGGAAGAAAACCATAACCCCACGAAACATATGGGGAACGACCCAATAGCCCATATAGATAGCCCTATAGCTCTACAGCCCTACCTTTATAACCAAAAATCAAGATGGTTGTCTCTGACACCATACATACATGCACGAACACATACTTATATGTATATATATATATATGCTGCGGGGGACTGCGGGCTCCCATAGCGCACAACACTGCAACGCGGCCTAAGGCACGACTGCAGAGTGCGGAAGGCAAAAACAGTGAGAGGACGAGACGCTACCGGCAACGGCCGATGCGTTTGCCGTCTCGCGTGAGAGCGGGGCCTCTGGCGAGAGCATGCGAATGACCTTGACTCCGCGCTTCGCGCAAGGCTTCCCTGTCCTTCTCATCCAGGCGATTCAGGACGTCGCTGGCGAGAGGTCGACAATTTGCCAGCACCCAGTTGGCACAACGAGGGCGGCGACGATCCGACAAGTGAGCTATACATCTGAGTCGGGGTCTGAATTGCGTGCCACAGGAGGGGCGCACGCCAGAGCCATCGATATACTGCTTGATGCCGAGCCGGTGTCCGTGCTTGGCTCGGCAGTGGCTGGCGAAGGCGCGTTCTGTGGGAAACCGCGCGTGGCACACAGAGCATGCATGGCCCAGGGCCCTCCCCGCGGGCGGCGCCGACGAGGGCGGGGGGGAATGGCGATCTAGACAAGACTCTGCGAAGAAAATGCTGCCCAAAATCTTATCCCACCTGGCAGGGGACCGAAGGCCAGCTGCTCTGCGAAGAAAATGCGAAGAAAATGCTGTCCAAAATCTAATCCCACCTAGACATTGGCCGTGAGCCTCGTGCAGGGCAGCTATACCGGGAACAAGGCCGGCTGCTCTGATTTCTCTCGGTGCCCGTCCATGATCAACGACATCCAAGGGAGTTCGGGTTCGGAGGAGCCCGCGTGCAACAAAGCGAGAAGAGGGAGGGGCCGGTTGCGAACCAACCGGGCGAAATACCTCAACCGGGCCACCATGAGGGGGCAGTCGAACGAGGGCATCTGCAATTTGAGTCGCACCTCCAAGTCCGTCATCTCCCCCTTTGTGGAGAAGCGGGGGTCGCCGGCAATCCGCCGCAGCACGCGCATGTAAACTCCTGCCAGCTCCTGTAAGGTACGAAGGGACAAAACGCAAACGTGCAGATTGAAGGTGAGGCGGGAAAGAACTAAACTCCGCATGAAAACAAGTTTGTATTTGTCATCAATCACGCTGGACCCAAACACCTTGAAAGCAATCGGGGAGTACGCGCCTAGAGCTGCAGAGGCACGGTGCACAGCGTTCCGAAAATGTACGCCTTGTGCCGAAACAAAAATGCCGAGGTGCCTGTACTCGTCCACGATGTGCAGCATCTGGTGCGAATTGGGCACAAAAGTGGCGAGGGTACCATCAGGTTGCCGCCAACCCTTCTGCACCGCGACCGCGCCGTTGCCGCGGAGAGCGACGAGGCCTTCGGTTTTGCCCTTGCCCCAGTTGACCTCCAAGTGGAACGCGCCAAACACGTCGGTAATGATGCCAAGGGGGGTGTCGACCGCCCGGGCGAGCGCCTTGGGCGATTCGGACAGCAGGATGACCACCTCGTCGTCCACGAAGGTGGCGTCAACAATGTCCTGCTCAGGGGCGGGTGGATCAACATCAGCCCAGAATGCTATCGGAGCGTCGGTGAGCCGAAGAGTCAAGCCCTCCTGCGATAGACGCCACTTGAGCATGTCCAGCGGCGGCGTGTACGCTGAGTTAAACACCAGCGAACCCAATGTGCATCCCTGCCGGCCTCCCGTGAGCGAGGCCGTCACGCGAGAACCTCCTGGAAGCTTGAACCAGGCCTGCTCGTGCAGCGTGCGGGCCATATCCGCTGCAGAGAGGTTGACCTTCCACTGCTTAAACAAGTGCCCGCGCTCCTCAATGTACTTCGTGAACCACCGTACTGCATGCGGCGCCACTCCCGGGGCCTCTGGGTGGCCAGGGCGTGCACTGGGAGGGAGGCCGCCCCAACCCAGAACGAGTTGGCGGATGAGTTTGTCGAAGGCCTTCACAAGATCCACGAACAGGAGGAATAAGGACGCTTGCCACTGGCGGGCAAGCTCCACTGCGGCGAGGACGATGTGGGTGGCGAAGTCGGCGCCTCTTCCCGAGACGGCCCCGAATTGAGTGAGCGGCAGCTGCGCATTGACGGACGGATTCAGGGCATCCTTCACGATGCTCGCCAGCCCCTTGCCCGCGTGGTCCGCTAGCAAGATGCCCCGGCTGTTGTCGCACACGCGCACGTCGCCTTTCTGCTTGTGCACGTGGGCTAGCAGGCCGCCACACCACTGCGTCGGCCACTGGTAGGCCAAGAATTCCTGGCGGTCGTGCTGCAGCGACACGTTGGCCATCCGCTGGAGCTTCAAGATCACGGCATGGTAGGTCGCCTCGAGCTTGCGAGCGCGCGCCGAGGCGTTAAAGGAGTCCACTGCGACGCCGTGGGCAACCAGGGGCGAAGCGAGACGGCCCTCACGAACAGCTACGCGGCAGAGTCGGTATGCTGGAAGACCGGCCAGCCATGCGTCAAAGGCGGCGCGCACGAACCACTGATGACGCCGCTGGGCAGCGGCGTGGACGAGGCGACGGGTCGGCGCCACGTGCTGCACGACCTCCCATGTCGTCACGGACAGCCAGGGCTTGCGAGGCAGGGGCCTGGCCAGTCCAAAAATCTCACGAGCACAGTCGAAGACTAAGGAGTTAGTTCACCTGCTCCAGGTAGTCGTCGACGTGCGGAGCCTGCGGCATTGGCGGCACGAGGATCCGCCGCTGGAAATCGGCCACTTTGCTGGGGTCGGCCATGTGGGTCTCGTCCAGCCTCGGAGGGGCAGGAGACCGAACGGCGGCACACAAGTCGGTTTGTGTCACCCGCAGTACGGCCGACACAGCGTCGTGGTCGCGCCATCCATTGAAAGTGAGGTCCAGGTCCGCGTGCACCGTGACGTCGGAGACCCACTCCTGGTGACTCTGCCGCACCAGGAGATAATCGATTCGGTGATGGGTCCCCTTCGTGGAATGCCACGTCGGAGAGCCACCGGTGAAGGTGTTGACGGCGACGAGGTTGAGCTCCTCGGCGAACCCCTTCATGGACTCGCCATTCTCGTTCTCTGCGACCGCGCCCGCCGTACCAATGGCCGGGGAGGGCACGGAGCCAACGCGTCCATTGGCATCGAGTGTCACCACCCAGCACGCCTGCGGAAAACGTGCCTTGAGCTTCAGGCCGGTGGACGTGAGCTCTGACCAGAACGCGAGGCGGTCGTCCCGCGTCGCCCCAGATGTGGGGGCGTGCGCAGAGATCCAGACATGTACGGCATGGTGTTTAGACACAGTGACGGCAAAGATGATTCTGGGAGAGACATCGCGCCACTGGAGTGCATGATGGCCGAGGTCACGATCTAGCCAAAGCTGTACTCCAAGGCTGCCCCCCTCCTCCGCGGCAGCGGCGAACATGGTGTAGTAGACGCCATCCCGTCGAGAGGACTTCGCAGCGCGGCCCTCTTGAAGTCCCACGCAAGCAAAACCGGCCTCTCGGAACTGCTGCTCGAGGAACTGGACCTTGCTGTTCATCAGGGCCAAGGTGGTGCACGCGTAGCTGCGCTTGTCCTGCCACGGCTTCAGAGTCTGAACGTTGGCGGTGGCTACCCTGTAGACGGCGACTGGAGCGTCGGGCGGTACAGTAGCCTGACCGGGATGACGGGGCCACGCGGCCGCGTCTCGTCGGGAGTCGCCAACATAACCGGGCGGCGATCGATGAGCGGGATCGGCGCGACGGCGCCTGATTGACCTCCACCATTCCGCTCGCACACGGCGAATATATATTATATATATATATATATATAGATATATATATGTATATATATATATATATAATATATATATATATATATATATATATCCGCCGGCCCCCTTGTGGGGCCACCAGGCTGTAGAGCGAAGGTTCGCAGTTTCCTGTACCAGTTGCAGCTTCCAGTTCCACTGTTGCAGTTTTGCTTCTTGCTACTGTTCCTTGTTGCAGTTATGTTTCTTGCTGCTTACTGTTCCTTGTTAATGGACCGCGCGAGGGGGGGAGGCCCCAAACGGATATTTTTACCACGGCCAAAACGTATTGTCTGAATTGCTGGGGTGGGCTAAATTGACACCCCTCACGCAGATCGGCGGGGTCAGGGTCCAAAAACACATGGTATTTGCAACATTTCTGAAATTCGGTGGTACCCCTCACGCCAATCGGCGGGTTGAGGGTTCAAAAACACATGGGATTTGCCACATGTTTGAAATTCGGTGGCACCCCTCACGCATATCGGCGGGTTCAGGGCGCAAAAACACAAGGGATTTGGCACATACCTCAAATTCGGTGGCACCCCTTACGCATATCGGCGGGGTCAGGGTCAAAAAACAAAAATGATTTGCCACATTTCTGAAATTCGGTGGCACCCCACACGCATATCGGCAGTGTCAGGGTGCAAAAACAAAAAGGATTTGCCACATGTTTGAAATTCGCCCCTCACGCAGATCGGCGGGGTCAGGGTGCAAAAACATAGGGGATTTGCCACATTTCTGAAATTCGGTGGCACCCCTCACGCATATCGGCACGGTCAGGGTGCAACAACACATGGGATTTGCCACATTTCTGCTATTCGGTGGCACCCCTCGCGCAGATCGGCAGGGTCAGGGTCCAAAAACCTACGGCATTTGCCACATTTCTGAAATTCGGCGGCACCCCTCACGCAGATCCGTTGGGTCAGGGTGCAAAAACATAAAGGATTTGCCACAGATCTGAAGTTCATACAACAGCGAGTACAACAATAGACTCGCAATCCCCATCCGTCTTGCCACATTAACCATCGTTTTCGCATGAAGTTCTGACGCTGCCTTCGCTCTTCCATGGCCCATTCTCCGAAAGAGGGGGCCGGCGGCAGGGGGCGAAACCCTTACGGATATATATATATATATATATATATATATATATATATATATATATATACACATATACATACATACATACATACATACATACATACATACATACGTGCATGCATGCATACATACATACATACATAAATACATGCATACATACATACATACATACATACATATACATACATATACATATACATATACATATACATATACATATACATATACATATACATATACATATGCATATACATATACATATACATATACATATACATATACATATACATATACATATGCATATACATATACATATACCTATACCTATACCTATACATATACATATACGTATGCATATACATATACATATACATAAACCTACATATATATATGTGTATATGTACACACACATGGTCGGTTCCAAACTGGGTGAACCCAAAAACGTTTTCATCTCTTGGGGGGTAGCTCCCGCCGAGCTTCCGCCAATCTTCCGCCGACCTTCAGCCGCCCTTCCGCCGCGGGAAAGATGACAGCTCCTTCGACCCTCCAAGGCAAGGCCCTGTTGAGAAAGCCCCATATAGCAATAACCACATACGCATAAACATGTACCGATATTCTCAATGATATATGCATTCCCCACGTAATGCTTGCACTTAGGGGCTCGTACCTGTGGAATAATGAGCTGGGCATGGCGTCGGTCTGGCAGCTCCGTGGTCGCCGTCGCCGCCTCGTCGCCGCCTCGTCGCCGACTCGTCGCCGCCCCGTCGCCGCCCGTCGTCTGGGCCTGGGCGTCGGTCTTGCGGCTATGTGGTCGCCGCCGCCGCCCAATCGCCGCCTCGTCGTCACCGACCGTTTTCTGGGCCTGACCGCCGGTCTGGCGGCCATGTCGTCGCCGTCCCCGCCCCGTTGCCGCCTCCGCGAATCCTGCACCGCATAAATTGCTCTCTTCTCTTGAAAAATTAATCCCCCCCCGGATTTATCGATTCCCCTCTTCGCATTGCAATCTACATGCGATTATGCCCCATCGTCCATCTTACATATGATCCCACACCATCCCAGGCAGGCAGGTATCGGTCCCCGCCTCATCATGCGAAACAACAAACTGTGCGCGCCCACGCGTTTGTTGTAATTCAGCCATGTTCAAAACTCCCTTGCGGAAAATTCGCGAAGTGCACACGCGCGGACATGCCACAATCCTTCAAAAACCGGCGGTTTCGCAAGGGCTTCACAATCGAATGTCCCAAAACATTTTTACTAACAACCAATGACTTCGCAACAAGGGTGCTCAAACCAAGTTTGGCTTCGGAGATTTTTCAACCATCTCATGCCGACTCATGCCATTTTACCAAACGTATTTTTCGCGCGCGCATGTCGGAATCGTTCGAACGCCTTTGCGCGCGTGTTGCCGTCATAATATTCTGCAACATGGGGCGAGAAAAAGACACGCGCGTCGTGGCGCGCGCATGCTTTTGTGTTATATATGTATGTATAGATAACGTGTTTCATTGGGCTTGCTATATCGAATGCCCCGAAAACGTGAAACGCACGCGTGGTTTTGCAATCCCACTTTTCCCAAAATGCCCGCGCTCGCGCCCGGGCGTTTTCTTAAGGAAACCATGGGTTTCAACATCTTCTTGGATTTCAGCCAGGCGGGCGTGTCGTGCTGCACGTCGAAATCACTCAAGCGCCCCAACGCGCGTGCTGGGTGGTGGTGGCATGGTCCGTGTCAAAACATACCATGCGGGCCACTCTCGCGCGTCGGGCGCGTGCGCGTGTCGAACTCCTTCTAAAACATTCATCGCCGACGCGAGGACTCCGTCGTCGTCGTCGTCGGCAAGATCAGCATGGGCGCCGTCAGTGGGCTCGCCGTCGTCGTTGCCACCATCGTCGGCAGCATCGCTACCATCCTCAACGTGTCTACCGTTGTCGACGTTGCCATGATACCGCTCCCGTCCAAGTCGCCGACACGCACTGGAGTGCATGCTGGGCATTGCCCAGCGGCCGGCGCCGCCGTGGCCGCGTCGGTCGCGCCAAAGTCGCTGGCCGCTTCGTGCGCGAGCATGCGCGGGCCAGCGCGGCTGCAGAGATACACCAGCCAACGCCAAACACTCATCGCAGTCGCCGCCGCAGGGGTTTTGCAAACCAGGTTGCGGGTGACGCTTGCGCGAACAGTGGAAGTGCCAACATGGAGACCGACTGGGCGGGTTGCGCCACACAGCTTGCGCCGCATATGCTGCGCCACGCAGATTGCACCGCGCCAGTTGCACTACACATACAGCACAACAGAAACTGCACCACGTAGACTGCATCACGGAAATTGCACCGCATAGGTTTAACACCATAACTGCGCCACATTTACTGCGCCAGCTAAATGTGCACCACGTAGACAGGACTCTAGATACTTACAACGTCGCACAACGCATCATTCACAACGCAGATTGCACCACGCGCATGGCACCGCGCAAATTGATCCACATAGAAATCACAATCTATATTGCACCACGCATATTGCACTACGCGGGAGGCACACCATTGATTGCACACCACATGTCGCAACTGCATCTGGTACCACACCCAAAGCGCGGCGCATATTCCTCCGCTGCGCGCGCTGTTTTGGGTCCACACTGGCCAATGCAATGTGCGTGCACGCTTGCATCTGCTCACATATCGAGAAGTAGCTGCGCTCACATGCGCATGTACAGACCAGTAGAGAGAAGGAGAGAGAGAGAGACATGGGCACTGATAAAAAGGGTACGCACGCACATATACATAAACGGAACGGGAGGGAGAGAGAGAGATAGATAGAGAGAGAACAAAAATATATAGAGAGATCTACATGCAGAGAAAAAGAAACAGAGAGAGAGAGAGAGCGAAAAGAGTGTGCAAGAGAGAGAGAGAGAGGAGCAGAGAGTACAACACAACAAGCACAACACCACGGGAGTACAACATCTAAGTCGATGCAAGTGTATACACAAGCATATAGGTGTATAGCTGTATGCGTCAGTAAAGTACACATGCAAATGTACACACATATAGCGAGAGACATATATATATATATGTATATATATATAGAGAGAGAGAGAGAGAGAGAGAGAGAGAGAGAGAGAGAGAGAGAGAGAGAGAGAGAGAGAGAGAGACACACAAAACACCAAGGGATAGAGAGAGAGGGAGAGAGAGAGAGAGAGAGAAAGAGAGAGGGAGAGAGTGGAGGCGTTAAAGACGTAAATATATATATAGAGAGAGAGAATGAGAGAGAATGACAGAGAGAGAGACAGAGAGAAAGACAGAGAGAGAGAGAGAGGACAACAAAGAGGGATATACAGGGAGAGAGAGAGAGAGAGAGAGAGAGAGAAAGAAAGAAAGAAAGAAAAAGAGAGAGAGAGAGACAGAGAGAGAGAGAGAGGGAGATGGAGACAGAGAGAGAGAGAGAGAGAGGACAACAAAAACACAAAAAAAACGGCAACCACAACAACAAGAGAGATGAGGAGAGAAAGAGAGAGAGAGAGAGAGAGAAAGAGAGAGGGAGAGAGGGAGAGAGAGAGAGAGAGAGAAAAACAGAGTGAGAGAAAACACGATATGTATATATACACATACATATACATATCTAGAGAGAGAGAGAGAGAGCGATAACTATATATGTATATATATAGTTATGTAAAGAAAGAGAGAGAGAGAGAGAGAGAGAGAGAGAGAGAGAGAGAGAGAGAGAGAGACAAAAAGAAAGAAATAAAGCGAGAGAGAGAGAGAGAGAGAGGAGAAATAGAGAT